GACTATTGAACTAAATACCTGACAATAGTTCCATTGTCTCTCGGCTAAATGAGGGCATAATGGGTATCGCATTGTATATCTGCAAGTATTAAGAACAGCATTAAAAATGCTGGTTATAACTTATAAGAAAGAAATGTAACAATTCACTCATGTTAGTAGGTATACATTGTAATCAGTTTTGAAGAGACAACATCCCAGCGATGCACACAGAATTTGTATAAATCTGTGGCAATAAAAAGGTAATTCGCAGATGCAGGCTGCAAAAGGTGAAAAATCTTTAATCATTATAGTAAGCTTAAAATAAAGACGATATTACAACCAAGTAGCATACTCACAAGCTGATGGTGTAACTCCATGAAAACCACTTTCTCAACTACAGGAAAATCCAAGATAAGTTGAAAACATTTGAAAATTTTAATTACAAACAAAAACTATACAAAGTTTAACAATAAGCAAATCAAAAGAGATAGAACGCTTACCTTTAATTCATTTTCGGTTATGAGATAGATCTCTACAAGAGAGCCTTTGCTGAAAGAACAAATGGAAGAATTGTTGGTACATAACATCCCTTAAGAGGCAATCATTTTGTAAGTTATGTTACCATATAATCAGATTAGTGTCCTTGGGACCGGTAAAACACCCCACGCATGAGTGAGTTACTGCGGTGGCTTTGCGAACAGTTGCTACATAGTTCCATTGAGCTGTCCGAAATCTTTGTATACCTGTTGCAGTATGCAATATGACATCAGTTCAATCTAACTCTAGTCAAACACACAGAAAGAAGAGCATGCAAATGCAAATACCTCTAGAAGAACTCGTTCTTGACAAAAAGTCTTTCGGACTGATCGGAGTAGACATGGAGGATGGATGACACAGGACAATAATCTTAAGAAACGACTCTGCGTACAATAATGAAACATTTGAATTACATACACAGATTCAATGTTCTGAAATGCAAACCGAATAGCATCAACTTGGAAACTCTATTGGTCAATCCAAGTAAGGGTTGATATATCATCAATATGAAAGCAACTAGTTTCAAATTTACAGTCAACGCCCTCTGCATTTGCAATTAATTAGTCAAACAAAATCAATGAAGTAACACAACCATTAATATCTCTAACTTGCTATACAACACAAATTGCAGTATTGCATANTCTTTAGGCACATTTCTATTCTATTCTAGGTTCAAGGAAAACCAAATTCAGTCTCAGAATGTNAAATACGGATAGGATCTAAAAGCATTGGACTCTAGGTTCAACCAAAACTAAGTCCAGTGAAGTACATACTCATATCAGCGGTGTTGTTGGGTATACTATTTACGGCATAAAACAAAGTAAAAGCTGAACCCTATTAAACACATGAATGTACAAAAAGAACTAAACGGAAACAAAGTTTTTGAACGAAATCATAATCTAAGACAGAGTAATCAACTCAAAATTCGTAACAGAGAAGAGAGTATATGCATGATTGTTAATCAATTATGATACGACAGAGTATGTATCTATTAAATCTCTTTCCCAAATTTGTGAAAAAACTATGGGAACTCCTTTTTTCTGTGTGTACTGTTTAGCTTTTTTATATATAAAAAGGAGTTATATATGTTCAAGGGAAAATTGGTTGTATAACACACACAAAAAAATATTATATCTAAAAATCTAGCTAAAATTTTTCTATATATGTGATCAAATCTCACGCATTAGATCTAGAGTTTTGGCTAGATTTTTAAATATAATTTTTTTTTTGTTATACCACAAATTAACTCATTATTCAATTGGTATTTTGTTTTCTATTTCTTTTTTGTAATATATATTCTCTAAACAATGTATTTGGTTTGAGTCTCTTAATAAAGTTCATTTACAACAGAAAAAAAAATCAACCACAAAATTTATATAATTTAAAACCTTTTAACAAAAAAATAACAAAGTATGGAAACTAAATTTATATATTCGACTGGAATTTAATTTTA